GAGACATACATTAAGGCAATGACGACCTGCAATATGAAAGAATCAAGTTGTCCACTATATATATATAATCAAAATATGGTGAAAGTATCCAATTACCTTTTTATCGAACAAAGATTAGGGTTAAGATTGTAAAACAACAAAACCCTACCCAAGTACAAACACTAAACGGACAATGAAATGTCAAACAAAACCCACACCCTACTAAGAAATCGCAAACATTGAGTTCTTTTATAATTCAACACTAAAGAAGAACCAAAATCCCAAACTTCCTATTGTCAAAACATAACTGAATTAGCTTGTAAAGAGAAACACACCGGTGGTTCTTACCTTCTAATGTAGCAAGACATGGTATTCTCACGTGCCGTTCTCGCCGAATATATATTGTCAGCATGAAGAGTCCCGATAACCCTAACTCCGAGTCGCATTTTCTTGACCACATCATTATGCTCGCCATATGTGGTTTCCCCGGATCGATTGTCCCTATAATTAGATGGGGGAAATGAGCATAGGAGAGAAGATAGTCGGACGGAGAGATAAACGAAAGAAGGTAAAAGAATGGAGGGAATCGAGAGAAGCATCAGTTCGCTTCCTTTGCTTTGCCGCAGCTACTATGTTATCCTTAGGAGACGATGATGAAGAGAAATACAAGAATAAACCCTAGGCAAGTCTCTTCTCTCATTTTAATTTAATAGTTATATAACTTCCAAAAATTGAAAAAAATTCAATTCCAAGCGGCGAATTTATCCCGCCTTGGATGTGGGACGACTAAAAGAAGCCCACTAATATTTATTTTTGCTTCCGTGCATATCTTGGGACGATTCAAATAAATTGTCCTCTATGCCACTATACATTTCATTTCCGGAGACTAGTTAGTTAGTTGTCCCTTATATTTGTTCCCTAAGCTTCTTAATTTTGTAGTGGGTGCAGAAATGAAAAGACGACATTGAGGTTCAAGGTACTAAGCTCATTATGCAAAAGAGAGTGCATCTTATTCATGCATATATATGAGGTTAAATCTTATTAAAGCGCACAGGCTCTTCATCAATTATTTATGTTTTTCTTGAAACCTTAGTTTGCTTTCAGCATTACTTGATTTCAAACTATAAAATTATTATTATGGTGATACTCAATCTCACACTATAGTTTAGTATAAGTAACCTGCTTTGTAGGACAAGCAGTGGTACAAACCTATGCTGCAATTTTTTCCTTACCATGTTATCTAACCCAACATATCATGCACTTCCCTGTACTTACATTGACTTTTGCTTCCTAAATTGCAGTTCTCTTGATCCAAGACTGTCATCATTGAAAGGTATTATATACATCCTTTTTTTTGTCCTGCGTATATTTCCAAAACTCTGTGAATGCAAATTACACTTCAGGCACTCCTTAAAATATTCCCATAGCATTGGATCGACTATTTTCACTACAAATTTTAACATTCAGAGCATGGCCACCAAGTTTATTTGCAATCACCAACTCCACGAACTTGATTGTGAGAGACCAAGAGGGAATAATTGTTGGAATTTGGTCGAACCAAAATCTGATGAACTGGTTACATGTAATTTGGGTGAACCAAAAGTTTAATGGGCCAATTGCATTGAATTTGGTAATGACAGTTTTTCCCACCAAAGGACACGTTTCCTTGCAGGGAGTGCTTGAATTGAAATTAACAAAGTTCCAGTTTGAAATGCATGGCCAATTAATTGGCAACATTACCTGGGGCAACGTTTCATTTTAAAATGAAGTATTGTGTTGCTTGGCCAAAGTAGGACTGGCGGTTCCTCCCAACCTGCCATTATATTGAAAGGTTGCAATCTTTCAATGCATTGTTTCGTCCTCTATATAAGGAAAAAATCCCAGAATACTCGAGTTATTAAAAAAAATTCCCTAAATACAGTACTTATAAAAGTAATTCCCAAAATACAGCAGTTTCAACATCACTGTCTTAGACAAAGACAGTGATATTGATCACCGCTTTTGTCCAAAGCAGTGAAGCAGCGGGGAACGCATCACCGCCTTGGACGAAAGCGGGGAACGCATCATCGCTGTGGTCAAAAGCGGTGATACGTTCCCCGCTTTTGTCCAAAGCGGAGATTGTATCCCCGCTTTTGACAAAGGCGGGGAACGTATCTCCGCTTTAGACATCAACAGTGAAGGCATCACCGCGGCTGTCCACAACAGTGATTGCCCCCACGTTTTACACAGCCCTGGTAGGTGGAGAGGTAGGTAACAGCTACCTAGCCATCACCGCTGTTGACTAAGGCGATGATGGGTTCACCGCCTTGGTCCAAAGCGGTGATTAGCTCCCAATTTTTCCTATAAAAAGCCACGCCCCCTCTTCCCTCCTGCTGCCAAACAGAAAATTAGTAAAAAAATTATCGTTTTGTTAAGTCGTTTTCGCAGCTGGTTCCTCCGTAGTTTACTGCTCAAGAAACTCGTCGGGATTTGGTATGTTAGAATTATGTATTGTTTACATTTTGATTATGTGCTAGAATTAGGTATGTTAGAATTATATATTTAGATTAATTATGATATGATATATGTTAGTTAGTTAGTACTGAATTTAGATTAATTTGTTTAGTTTTCTCATGATAGATCGGGATTGAGTATGTTATAAGTATGTATTTTTTACATGTTGATGTGTTAGTAATTATACTGTCTGTATTTAGTGAATTGCGGTTATTGGAAAATATGTTATGATATTATTTAGTTTAATTATGATATGATAGATGTTAGTTAGCTAGTTATGAATTTAGATGAATTTGTTTAGTTTTCTCATAATAGATCAATTAGTTGCATTTTATTATCGCTTTGGATGATATTGTTTTTGTATCCATAATGTACTAATTATATACTATACTTAATTATTATAAATTGCAGACATGGGTAAATTTAAGAAGTTTCGGCTTATTATTTATTGGAATGGTCGGGTGACAAACTCGAACATTGGGATCGACTATGAAGATGGCGAATCCAGTACGCTTACAATTGAGTCGAGATTCTCGTGGCAAGAACTCCATGACAGGTGTGCAGAAAGGACTTGTACGGGCGGGCAAATGAGAGTTCGTCAAATTACTTACCGGTATCCCAACATGAGTGCTGACGGAGTCATGTACGAAAGAGTTGACATAAATGATGATGACGACGCGAACATGATGACACAGTTCATATCTGAGAACGGGGTGCGGCTTGCAGAGGTGTATGTCGAGACCGAGCCGGTCGGTGAAACTCATTCTCACCAGTATTCTTATGATGATGGTTTTGCAGGAGGGTATGGCTGGGGTGGTAGTTCAAGTAACTACGGAGCAGGTTCTTCTGCCGGAGGGTATGGTTGGGGAGGTACTTCAAGCAACTACGGAGGAGGTAGTTCTGAAGGAGGTGTTGGGTGGGAAGAATACCTGCCACATGGTGGTGGGACTGCCGTCGATATCGTTCAGCCCGACGGTGATCAATGGCCTGCTTGGGGTCCAGAGTGAGGTGACATTGAAAACACCCTTCGAACTGGGCGTACTTCGCATGACCAAGAAGGCGATGCTGGTTATGCTGCTAACGATGACCATCCTTCGCCGAGCTATCCATTCGCCTCCAGTGACGATGAAAGTGAGGAAGATTTGAGATCAGTCAGTGAGGAGGAAGATACGGACGATAATGACGATATCGATGACAGTGAGGTGGCGTTCCGACAGGCACCAACACCTTACTACACAGAGGTTCCTGATCAATTTTTATATGGTCAGAACGATGCCCCTGACTTTCGGCCCATGCCTGTGTATAATCCGACTGCTAATTTGGAAGTGGGTATGGCGTTCACTTCGAAAGCCGATGTGCAAGACGCTTTTAGCGAAGAAGCCATGCGGCGTAATTTCGAATGGAAGGTAAAATATTCTGACAAGGGACAACTGCATGTCATTTGTAAGAATGCTGGAGAGGGTTGTATGTGGCAACTTCGTGCTGCATATATGAAGAGAAAGGGGGTCTGGGTCATGCGGACAGTAGAGAACAACCACAGTTGCTCCTCAACCATACTTTCACAGGATCACCGGCAACTGAAAGCAAAAAAAGTGGCAAGAACCATTAAGCACCTTATCGAGGCACAACCAGATATCAAGATAAAAGCTATCATGGCGGAGGTGAAGGATCGACACTCCTACACCATAAGGTATAAGAAGGCGTGGCATGGGAAGCAGAAGGCCATGGCTGATGTCTACGGTGATTGGGATGACTCGTATGCTTTACTCCCCAGACTAATGTCTACAATGGAGGAGTCCAACCCTGGGACGGTTTTCGTGCCTTGGTACAACAACGTAGAAACTGAAGATCAAGTTCGAGTACAGAACGAGTTGATGTTTCATCGTCTGTTCTGGACATTCAAGCCATGCATTGACGGGTTTCCCTTCTGCATGCCAGTGATTCAGGTATATTACGGACTCAAAATATTGTACTATTTCATTACTTTACTAATTTCAATTTTTATTAACTCATTATTCATTTTAACAGGTTGATGGAACTTTCCTTACTGGGAAGTATAAAGGAACTCTTCTTATTGCCACTGGGGTTGATGGAAATTTAAGTATTTTTCCCTTAGCATTTGCATTAGTTGAAGGGGAGAACAACCTAAGTTGGGCATGGTTCTTTGACCAGCTACACGCCCACGTCACACAAAGAATGGGTATTACAATTATATCGGATCGACATGCCGGGATTAAACACGCCGTCCGTGGTTTCCCGGACGAATGGGGATGGACATGGCGTTGGTGTATTCGTCACTTCCTAGCCAATTTCCAACACAAATTTGGCAAGAAGAAAGACATAAGAGATCAATTGTGGAGTGCAGGTAATAATGTAATTCAGTGCTTGTTCATGGTTTATTGTTCAAATGAAATTTCTTATGGATTAATTATTAATTATCCGGTCTTGTAGCGGTTGCACATCAACCAAAAAAGTACGAGCAGAAGATGAAGACGATCCGTCAAATACACCGGGCGGGAGCAGTATGGGCAGAAGGTCAAGATCTGCACATGTGGACATTTCACATGGACAACGGGGCTAGATTCGGAATTGCAACTACCAACCATGGGGAGAGCATAAATGGAGTCTACAAGGGCATTAGGGCAATGCCTGTATCTGTCCTAGTGGAGATGACATATTGGAAGGTAAACGAGTGGTTTGTGAAGAGACGGGATGCTGCTATAGGGAGGGAGCGTGCTGGTCATTCAATAGCTAAGCATATATTTGATGGCATGCAGAAGATCGAAGAGAAATCAAGTAAGCACAGAGTTGTTCTGTTCAACCGCAATGAAGGTATTTTTGCTGTGCAAACAGGTATCTGGGGTGGAGGAAGACGTGGGCATAATCGCTCTGCCATTGCCGTCAGCAGATCGTTGTCAATATCTAGCCTCATAAAGTGCCTCAAATTGTGCAATCCCGCCCTCTCTAGATAGGGATGCAGTCGAGGATGCCAACGGGGCAATCGACATGTACCTCGATGACTGATGGGAATAAGTGATTCCTACAAAACAAAAAACACAATATTGTCAGTCAATAGAAAGCAAAATAAAAACTTAGAAAGCAAAATAAAAACTTTAAAACTATTGAAATAATTTTAGTGTGTCTACCGGATTATTGTTCCAAATTGAACGAGAGCGATGTTGATCTTGCCCGGTTAAATACCTTCGATCCCTTGGGCCAGGATCGATATACAATCTAGGGTCGTATATCTCAGCACCCATCTATAAAAAAATATGAAATCAAATCAATTTAAATTTTAGCACCCATGTAAAAAAAAAGCACAAAAGAATTAAATAAATTTACGTACTCTCAAAGCCTCTTCGTCCATTTTTTGCCGAAAAGCTAGCGAGAGTATCGACAAAACAACAAAACAAAAACTCTAGTAATTCTTTCTGATGCGGAAGATCGGACTTAGCCGCAACCACAGAGCATACTTAGAACGAAACTAGAGTGAAAAATGGAGGGAGAAAGAAGTATAAAGTGGTGGTGTGGTTTGGAATGAGGGGGGGATGAGTATTTATAGTGTTTGGGGCTGGGAAAGACCTGGCCAGTTATCACCGCCCCAAACAAACACAGCGCCATCACCGCGTCTAACAAAGGCGGTGATGGTCAAGGATCGCTGACGTGGCCTCTCCTGATGCGTCGGATTGTGGAGAAAAACCACAATCCGCGCATAACTGCATCCGACGGCAGCGGTGAAGGCGCGGGGTGGGGCGTGGATCGCTGACGTGGAAAGCGGGGCAATCACCGCTTTGGTCTTCAGCGGTGAAGTGCCCGCGCGCGTCCACGTCAGCGATCCGCGCCACTTCACCGCTGTTGGATCCAACGGTGAAGGCTTCACTGCCTCCAACATCAACGGTCTTGCCATCACTGTCGTCCTTGACAGCGGTGATGGCATCACTGCTTTGGTTTAAAGCGGTGATAACATCACTGCTTTTGTCAAAAGCGGTGATGTATCATCGTTTTAGACCAAAACGGTGATCAACATCACTGTCTTAGACAAAGACAGTGATGTTGAAACTAGGGGTGGCTATTTGGACCGGGACCGGATTAAAAACCGGAAACCGGACCGTATAACCCGGACCGAGACCGGACCGGGACCGGATAGTAAACAATCCAATCCAATCTTTGGGCTTAGATTTGAGGTAAAAAACCGGATAAAGACCGGATAAGAAAGCTCAACACCCAAAACTTAAGGGTAATTTGCATAAACGGTCACAAACCTTTGCACTTAGTACAAAACTTAACCAACTGCTCACCCTTTAAGGCTTTAGGGCACTCAAATCCCACAATCTCAATGTAAAATCCAGACTGAATCGGGACCGGACCGGATCAAAACCGGACCGGATCAAGACCGGACTGTATCCAATCCAATCTTCGGTCCTTATATTTTCAAAAAGACCGGACTGGACCGGATCAATTTGGGCCAATTTAACCGGACCGGACCGTATAGCCACCCCTAGTTGAAACTGCTGTACTTTAGGAAATACTTTTATAAGTACTGTATTTTGGTAATTTTTTTAATAATTGGTGTATTCTGGGATTTTTTCCTCTATATAAGGACTCGGTTAATGGTGAAAAAACACACCAAAAACATATTCTTCTTCATAAGAAAACTTCTAAATATGCTTTAGGTACTTAACCTTGGAACCTAAAGTGGTGATAGTTTTATCTACGAAGAAATTTCCTGTAACCCAAGACTTTGTAGAGGGCGGAAATATTCTTTACGGAAAGTGAACGTAGTTCACGACTCTATCATCATCCTAGTCACCCGGTCTCGGACTATTGTACGTATACCCTCGTCCCTAAAAGTCCCAACAATCGTAAATAATAATTTTCGGTACGATGTCTCGAACCGCTCTTTACAAGAATCCGGTTCTGGTCTATGGAATTATGAAAATGATCGATGATGGGTTTTTCATCGATGGCAGTAGAAGATGAGTTTTCTTCGTAATAGTCTCATGGTGTATTCCATATCCGGAAGGAAACTTGGAAGAGGGATAATTTGAAGATGAGGAAGAAGGAGAAAGCTTCGTAAATGGAGAAATAGAAGAATGACAATTGTCTTTGTGTAGGTCACATACACAATGATTAATTTGTTAATTCTCTATTAGACATTATGAAGTTCTAGAAAAATTTGGATTTGTCTAGTGGTTTGGTGGTGTAATTTTGTCTAGTGGTTTATGTTATTTTAAACCAAGGAGACAAAAATGTATGGGTAAATACAATTTATTAATTTAATATCAAAACCTTTCATTTTAAACAATATAATAGCCAAACCTTTTCGAAAACAATTTAATATTCAAATCGTCAACTTTCTGTCTGTTTGACCGTTAGTAGACACTTCAAAAAAGTTCGAAGTACGACACTTCATCAATATCCATCGATATCTTCTCTGAAAAACCACCAACATATCGTAGTTCCAAACCCGAGAAGTCCATGACTCCACCATGATGGTATAGAATATCTAAATATTCAGTCATCTGCAAGCCAAAACAAGAAAACAAAGTTGTATTGTGACAATTTCCCCTAAAAAAAGCTTTTTTGAAGTGTCAACTAACGGTCAAACGAACGGAAAGTTGACGATTTGGATATTAGATTGTTTTCAAAAAGATTTGGCTATTATATTGTTTAAAATGAAAGGTTTGGATATTAAATTGTATTTACCCAAAATGTATATACAATGTTTGATGATTCTGGTAATAGAGTCGTTGTGTTTGTATATAGATGACATATTTAGCTATGGGACCAATCAAAGATAAGTGATTTTGTCTAGTGGTTGATGTTATTTTAAACCAAGGAGACAAAATGTGTACACAATTTATGATGATTCTCGTAATGGAGTCATCGTACATTTGTATGTATAAGACATGCTTATCTTTGGAACCAATAAAAGATAAGTGAACTTTGATAAAAAAAATTTATATCAATTCTCCATGTAGGACATTGGGGAGGCAAATATGGTTCTATGTATTGAATCAAGCAGAACAACAAAGAAGATTCCTTCTCTCAATTTTTCTGCATTAAGAAGGTACTTTCAAAAATTTCATAGTAGAAATTGTTGTGAGTTAAAGACCTCAATGGATCCAAGTATGGAACTTATGGTTAATACTGGTAATCAATTTTGCAACTGGAGTATTCCATGATAAATTGGGTGTTTGATGTATGCAATGACTTGCATAAAACCATATATCGTGTTGCGGTATTACCATTAAGTTGGTGTTTGAGTAATCCTAGTGCTCATCATTTGACGTGAAATGAGGCGTGTACCAGGATATCTCAAAGGCACACTGTATTGACTAATAGTGGCTTTCCATAAATTTTGGAAGGATTTATTGATGTTAGTTGGATTTCTTATGTTAAAGGTGATACTTCAACATAGAGATGGGTCCTCTTGCTTGGGGGAGGTGCCATATTTTGGGCCTTTAGAAAGAAAACTTGCATCACTAGTTCCACTATGGAGACAAAGTTTGTGGCCTTGATTTCTCTTAGAGAAGAGGCATAATTGTTGAGAGGCATGGTTTATGACATAAATTATGGCATAAACCAATCTCACCTATTACTATCTTTTGTGATAGTAATGCTAATTTGGCTAAGGCATATAGCCAAGTATATAATGAAAAGTATGATCATGGCGGATTTATGCACGGTCCAATCTATGAATTGATCACTCATAGATTTGTGTATGTACAAATATGACCGGACTAGAAATAATTAGTTCATCATTTGACGAAATGATTAACTAGTGACTTGGTGGTCAAGTCTGTGAAAGGGATGAGTTTAAAGTTTACGTAATTTCTGATCATAGGATACCCAATTCCCCTCTAATACAACGTTAGAGGCTGAATTCAATGTGGAAAGCTTATTATCAGAAATTGAAGCACACAATTTGTCATCCCGAGGTATGTGCTTGTTATCCTGCATGAGAGAAGAGGATGAAGTTCAAAACTTCTTAATTGAATCTTTGAAAAAGTGTATTATGCGGGTACACGAATAAGAGATTCAACCTACGTAAGCATGAAGTGTAGCCGCTTCAAGAAACCCGGACTTTGGTTTCGTGTGCGCTTATGAGAAGGATTGGACACATGGCGGGTAATACTGGCAAGGCGCTTAGAAATTTTGAAAACTTAAGTGTATATTATCTTTGAATATTCATACGAGTCAATGGTTCAATCGTTACCGACACCCTTTGTCTTCGAATATTTGTCAAGTGTAATATACTAAGATGAAATCTCAATCGTCACGATATTTTCATTTATGCTTAAGTTTTGTTGGAAGAATGTTGTGATTTTAGTGAATTCATGAAATACGTTAATTTGGGGGAGGATTGTTGGATTTTGGTCGAACCAAAATCTGATAAACTGGTTACATGTACTTTGGGTGAACCAAAGGTTTAATGGAACAGTTGCATTGAATTTGGTAATGGTGGTTTTTCCCGAGATTTTTTCCAGAAATAGCACCTTTAGAAAAAAAATTACAATACTAGCAGCCTTCCAAAAATATTTACAAAACTAGCACCTATTTTTATGGATTGCACCTTAGAGGTGCGTTTTATAAATAAAACGCAGCCTAAGAATGCGTTTCCCACATAAATCGCACCCCTAAGATGCGATTTATGCGAAGTCAGATTATGAAACGCATCCCCAAGATGCGTTCAACGTTTGGTGGCCAGCGACCTTCCAGTCCGCACGATTGAGGTGCGATCCGACAGGCTGGAGCATAGCCAAGTCAGCAATCCGCGCGGTTGATTGTAGATCGCACTGGCGAGGTGCGATTTCTCGCCTGGAAAAATGGAGCGTCAGTTTCCAGAGCGTTCAACGCCTCGGGACGCGGAGATCGC